GCGTACTGCCGATGACTCCCAAACTAGGAGGGATGAAACAGCTGTCCAGTACTCCCAGCTGGCTTTCAATGGTTCTCTAATTGATATCAATCTGTGAACAACTCATATGTTTATATATACATATGTTCTATGATTTATACAGAATATATCTGAAGACACAATTACTGGAAAACTCCTTTAACATTTATTTGCCAACTGATATCAATCTTTGGAGTAGAAACGAATGTATCCGATTTGTCTACTGCTCTAACTGACTGACTTAGTTACACTATAGGGCTTTACACGGAAAGGCAACAATTCACGTTTGCTACACTTCATCATACAGTACACAAAGTTAGAGAAGAGAAGAGCTTCAAGTTTGAGCGAAGATTGCTGACATCAGAGAACAGATATTTCGTCCCAGTATGGGACCCTTCACTGTACGTCCCCACGATGCCACCCACAAGCAGTCAAAACTAGAACTAATGCCTAACTGGATTTTGTCATAGCGGCTGAGTGGTAAACGAGCTCGATCTAGTAATCTGAAAGTTCTGGGTGATGTATGCATACAGATGAAGAGTCCCAAACTAGGACAAAACAGCTGTGTCCAGTACTCTCAGCTGGTTTTTTTCAATGGCTTTCTAACTGATATCAATCCCTGAGCAAACTTCAGACAAAACAAATTCTTAAAAACCAACCCTTTTAAAAAAAAGAGTAACATGGAAAAACACTAGGGTTTAGTGGATACGGCGGGTTACAAGGAGTGAATGCGTCTGCGTCACTGAGAATGTTTCTGAGCTATATCACTTGATAGTCTCCAGCCATTTAGTTCTTAGAATCCTGAGGTCCTCACCGCAGACAGGCTAACAGTTAGAAACTATATTGATTGAGTCCAGGTTGTGGTTTGATCACACCTAACTCTGTTCCAATCTAATCCTACGTCAGTTAAAATTACGCGTTGAGAAAGGCGGTGGCTCGGCATCTCCAACACGTATGCAGCCCATCTCAGTCGATGTGGTTTCATAGATTCTGTACTCCACAGTAAGTTGGTACCGTCTTACTTTAAGGCTATTACGTCGAACAAAACACGTTTCACAGGTAATAAATGCCAACAAATGATCAATGTATGTGTGAAGGATAAACTGCCGCTTTGGGCCACCTTAATGTGTGTTTGCATAAATTCACCTGCTCGTGTGGAGCTAGTTATATTGACCGCACAAAGCGCATGAGCTTTCCAAACGCATCTCTGAACATTATCCGGCATGGTTAGCAAAGGGACAGTGTAAGACAATTACTAGCTCAATTCTCGAGCATTTGGTGAACTCAGGCCGCGTAGCTCAACCAGAGTCGTCTTTCAAGATCATCTACAAGGTGAAGCCAAATGGTACAAGGGGTGTCAGGATTCGGCTTTTGTGTATGGCGGAGGCGCTGATAATTCGTCAATACAACCCCGAACTCTGTATACAGAAAACGTTTGTCCAGTCTCTTTACTAGTCATTCCCTGTGAAAAAAGATTGTGATTTTTTCTTTCCTTTTTTAATTTTTGATTTTACTCATAGTTTGCTTTTGCTTTAATAATTAATTCACTACTATCACTTTCATATGCTCCCTTTGTACATTTCACACCATCTTCACACTTGTTAAATTGACACTCAACTACCACCTTTATTCTCACTCAATAGCAATTTTAACCTTATCAAATTTCTATCTTTGTGCCGTTGAGTACCACGTAATTTACAACTTTTAACTTTCCCTTCTAAAGCCACTTCTGAGTAATTATATCAATTATGTCACCTCCCAATTACTCAATAACGGACCACTATATATTTTTGGTAAGTATAAATACGACTGTACAGCCAGCCTCTGAAGATGATTCCATAGATAAAGAAAATTTTCTTCACTGGCTGAATTTGTCTTTTATTTTCTTCATGAATAAATGTCTTTGTTCAATTTCTATAGTTTTGTAGAGAAATTCAACAATGTAGAGTAATGAAGTAAGGCGTAGACATTTAAGCAAGAAGAGAAAGTCAACTGATGAGGTCGTGAAGCTCAATCGATTAAGATAACTAGGAAACGTGTTACACCTACTAACCCACCGATTTCCTTGACAAACAATGCCAACCAAAGTAGAATAAGATTGAGAGATAGTTGGGAGAAATTAGTCAGATCAGAATACAACATCAACTCATGAGATTATGGACTCGTGCTAAGAGACACAGAGGCAGAGAATAATCGATCGGCTTGGATGCACCAGACTGCAAAAGTCAGGAATTAGAAACTCTAGGTGAATTCGCAGAAAACATATTTATTCGATGCTGTCACCTAGATTCAGAAATGCTTCATTAGTCTTGGTCTAACTTTTCTAACCATTACATTATCCATGTTGAACACGAAGGGGTGGACGTGGAAGGAAAGATTACCAATGACGACCAGATAGAGCCCAATTTAACGAGAAAACAAAATACTAGCTAGTTAATAGTGCTGACTGACTGATTAGAGTAGATACTCCATCTACACAAAAACAACCATATGTCAGAACTTCCAGTCACCCGAAATTCCGAAAACTTCGCCCCCCTCCGAAGTATCCAGATTACAGGCGCATGGCATCGCACCCGGGGATTCAGAGGTAGAATTCCCAGCAGTGAAACATGTGATCCGGGGATCAATCCCCAAACGACAGACTACTAAACCTCACCAAGCTGTTAGTAAGACATGAAACGAAGGGAGGATGGGCTAGCGTGAGGCTAACAACTCCACCTAGTAAAATCAAACAACACCAGTGCTTCAAACCTCAAGTTGGAAATCTTACGTTCCACTCAGAATGCAAAGGAATCAAAAGAAATGCCGGTTGATTATTCACCAAGTATTAGGGTTTGTATGCTAAAACACAGGTTCATTTTTTTATTTTGACTATAGCTTGAAACCACACAGTATTTTTTTGGTACAAGTATGTAATTTTCAGCATGGATACCGGTAGCCCAAATTTTGCAGGCTGACCATTGATATCAGGTGTGTGTCGGCAGGGGGTCGAACCCCGGACCATGTGCATGGTCGGCAAGAGTCCTAACCGCTGTGCCACCGACGCCACCTTTTACATCCGTATTATTATCAACTACAAGGCTATCATCTAACAGAGCCCAAGATTGACATACTAATTTGTTTTCACATAATGGGTGATAAGGGAAGTTGGAATAAAAAGCTTCATTTTCAACTACTACTGCTCACTGAGTTATATACCTAGGGCTTTATTGACTAAGCTAAGGTTAATTACACAGTAACCAAGTTTACAGCTACACTTCAATCAAAAAGAGTTCTCAGACTGTGTTTTTCTGGGGGGCGGGGGATTCTAGAGACTATGGTGAACTTCAGGGGAAATTTCTTTACAAACCAAGATCATTTATTAGATCATATCGAGGTGTCAAGCAGCTGCGCATCGACTGGATGAGTTAGCAGTAGTGTACCGACAGAATACAAGAGCCAGTCAACAGACTGTTTTTTTGAGAAATTCAAGATATATTTATAGAATTTTATGTACATTACTGTCAGCGGAGAAGCAACGTCCTCTGATTGGTTGTTTTCTTGCTGAAGGTTGTTATGTACTGCTTGTAACCGTATCTTAGAAACTGAAGCCATAAATCTGCAAATCCTATTTGCACACGTTAAGTCCGCTGTGATTAGTTGGTGAGTACCTCAAGGTTAAGCTTTGCCACTGTTTTTTCTCATGACACCGATTCGGGACTTAACATTGACGTAAATTGCTGTTTACAATTTTGGCTTGTTTGCAGCCAGCTCTCACCATAGTAGAGCTATGTATCGTGAACTGATAGAAGTTAGGATCTATGGGTCATCGCATTCCAACGCAGCAGTAGCTGAATATCCAACAAACTTGCTTCGTTAACTGTAGGTCTCATGGTTCTCACCCTGACGACTAAATCTTTGGTGTGCACTAACGAAGAGTCCCCTAATGGGACGAAACAGCTGTCCAGTTCTGTATAACTCAGTGACTGAGTTTGATTCGTGACGAATCCATACAAAACCTATAATCTGATTATAACTGTACAGCCTGAAGAAGAACAAGTGATTGGAAACACAATCTTGCGGTCCGAAATTATCACAGTGTTTTAAAAACTCCTTCGAACCAATCACATACAAATGGTCCTATACACAGATGACTTGAAAATTTGGAAGGAGCTGAAGGGCGACAGTGATACGCTCACGTTGCATAATCTCAACAAATTGTCAGAGTGGTCCAAAGAATGGATGCTCCCGATCGATGTAGGGAAATGTGCAACCATGCGCATCGGACAAGCAAGCATCAGCTCCTACGAACTAGAGGGAATAACACTCCCATCAGTTCAGACTCATTTGGATTTAGGTGTCATAGTTAGCCACGACTTAAAAACTACAGCACACTGTCACGTGGTGGATGCACGTAGTCTCAGATCATTATGGGCAATTCGCAGAGCCTTTACTAGAATCATCAGAGATATATTCACCTCAAGACTGGAAAACTATCCAGGCAGCCAGTCCTCGTAAAGGGGACTCATATACTCTAGAAAGGGTTCAAAAGAAGGCAACACGTATGATTCTCGGCACGACGAGGAGAGACCAAACAGTTTAAATCTCTTCTCCCTATCATACCGTAGACAGAGAGGAGATTTAATCACAATGTTTAAAATTTTAAATAATGACTACGGACCTGACCTATTCTCTCTTTTCCTTCCCACCAGGTAGGGTCACCTTAAAGGATATTGCAAGAGATTTCAAAATCCAAGAGGAAACCATATTGCTGTTGAGTACTGGTTCTCACACTGAGTTATAAACTGTTGGAGCCAACTCCCAGAAGAAGTGGTGTCTGCAACCTAAACTGATTCATTCAAGAAGGGTATGGACAACCACAGAAATTTACTAGAAAATGATCAACCTAGGCTCCAAGCCTTCTATCCTCAACCAATAAATCTGAAAATCTGAAATGTATATATATATATATATATAAATTGTTTTAAAAGAGACTAAATTACCTTTCAAATAAGAACCAATGTATTGTTTCACCAATCATTTTCCTGACAACAAGAGGAACAGTTGTTGACCATATCACATAGAATGGTTTCATTAAAATAGTCTTTACAACACGTCCAATTAAAGTATCACGTAGACAATAGAATAACAAGAGACTAGTACAAAAACCAAGATATATAATAATATTTATGATATAATCCATTGTGCTTTTCTATTTCATTCAGTGGGGATAATATTGACACGATTCACACCAAAGAAATGAAGAGAGCGGCAGCAGTCGAAAAACGCCCCCAATACGTCTACGATGATGATGATTATCTGAAGAAATTAAAAGAGGTATAATCAGTAGGCAAAAGTCCCTTCTAAGTTGTTAAAGTTTTAAATCTACTTCAAATAATAAGTGAAAATAAAACTTCAAAATTTTGATCAAAATAAAAGATGGTATAACAAGGGGGGCGATCATCAGCTATTCATGTGGTTCGCGACTTGACTCCCAACCGACTCATCGTAAACCTCACCAAGCTTACTGGCTGGTCTCAAACCTGGCAAAGCGAAGAAGTTGGATGTGAGGCTGGTTACCCTATCGTGCAAAAACAAAACACCGTCGCTAGTGAAACTCCTCCACAGAGCTTGCATTCTTACATTCTACTCAGAACAGAAGGTATGTTTATTAATCTATTTAAACACAAAAACAAAAATCTTGGTACAATATGGCACCAAGGAGATGCGCCCCACATAACAACAATAAAACAGTATAGGTTAAAAGTAAAACTATAGGTGGAGAACAGATAAACAACGTCATCTGGTAGGAAAACAGCTCAAACAGCATTCGTCGATTGTCGTCGGGAAGGTAAGAAACAAGCAGATTGCAGCAAGTTCGCCATTGATTATGATTCTTGGTCATATCCGATAAAGTTTCGAGCCACCGATTCCAATTTTATCGATTGTGTAAGGGCTGAGATACTTACTGCCTGGACGCCCAGACCGAAGCAGTTGGCTGTCATAAGGGCCCACCCTCCCAAGCGTTTGACTTGAAGTCTAACGCGCAAAGCGGTGGAGCAGCGTCAGGATCTACGTCCCCACGGTTGCCAGTGACCAACACAGGTTCATACGCAATTTGATTTGGTCGAATTCCGGAGTTCATGTACCCCATAGTAACTGCTCTTAGTCTACCTACTATCCAAACAACCTTACTGACATGGTAGGACCTACGGGAACATGAGTCCTAGCCAGTTTAGCTTGTTGAGTCACTGAGGTATTTAAGCTCGACTACCACGACAAGGTAGCAGTTGTCAGCCGGGTACAGAAGATATAACAAGGCAATTAGCAAGTAGGAGGAATAATTTGAGCTAAAATTGAATTCCCAACCTAGTTAGTTAGATAGTTAGTTCAAAAGTCCAACAGTTCAAGTTTCCAAACTTCAGAAAGGCACAAACAAAAGACGCAGCAAAGAGAAAAAGAAATGGGAAAACACTATAACAAAAAAGAGAGAAATGTACAGAGAAAAGAATTGTAAGATTACAAAGAGTGATTACATCTTCCCCATTGAACTATGTCACTAACAGTCTCTAGGCATTAGTTCTTAGAGTCTTCACTCAGGCAGTTCACATATCCTTATATTGGCTCAAAACCAACAGTTAAGAACTTCATATAGTGATACTAAGTGAAGACGATTGTAAAATACAGAGTCTTCTGAACACTATGAGCGGAAATCTTTGAGTGTGCGGCGTATGATTCACTTCTGTCATATGTAGGATGATGTAGCAGAATCGGTCTGTACAGAATCGTAGTTTGAAGATAAAGAATGAAGTGGTAAAGCATGTTGACCACTTCACTTATTTGAGAAGTTGCATCAGCCCTAAAGGGCTAATCACTGATGAAATTTCAGCATGGATACAAAAAGACGCGTGTAGCATTTTCTATCTCTCATCATCACCTATCGATCAAATGACGTGTGTACTGTGTAGCTGTTCGCGGTGTCTTTCTTCATGACTGTGTGATATGGCATTTGAAAGTGGAAGAATTGAAGAGGTTAAGGTGATTTTGACTGCAAATGTTTGCGTTTTGTCTCCCGCGTTAAGTGGTATAACAATATGAGGAGTAATACTGAGGTTAGGCGTAGTGTTAGGTAAGGGGGTGGGGGGTAAGTCGATCGGTGAAATTGTGAGGGAGAATGGAATAGAATGGCTAGGACACTTGGTAGTCATTCCAAGCTATCGCCTTCATCGCCAAAGTAGGATCAGGTTGGATAAGGGCCAATGGTGTTAAAACTGAAACCTAGGATCAGTCCATGAAGTGTTTGACAGCTAATCTGAGCCAACCACGTAGGGAGGTATCAACTACCTGCTTGGGATCCTTAGGATGCTAAGAAATAATGGCTCTAGACTGTGGCGCAAAATTGCTCTCCATGGTACAGATGCATTCACTCTTTGTGTCATCTCCCATACCCACTAAACTGTCATTGTTTTTACCCCTTACGTTTTTACTTATTATATTACTTATACATATTTTGAGTAAATCAGATGCAATATTGTGACAAATACTGAAAATTCCATTCTGTATTATAAGTACTGTTTTTGGAATAAAGTAAATTATTATTATTATTATTACTTTCGAACCGCCTTTTTCCTCTCTCTCTCATGTCTACGTTTGTGTGCTACATGGAGCGTGACAACTTGAACTGTCGCACTTCTGTACACAGTTCTGTGTTGAAACTCATTCAGTCATACGTCGATGCCATATTTTCATTTGACCACTCCTAACTCTTTTCCAACCTAATCCTAAGTCAGTTAACATTGCTCGATGATGAAGGCGATAGCTTGGCATACGTAACACACGTCCTAGTCACAACCTTCACGATTGACTTGCTTTCCTTACCTAACGGTCTACACCTAATCTAAATATTTCTCAACCATATTATACCACTTCACACGGGAGATAGGACGCAAGTATGTATGGTCAAAAAACAGTTGACCTATTTACACCAACCACTTTCAACGGCCATGTCTCAGAGCCATCAAGAAAGGACAAAACGAACTGCTACCCAGAACACACGTCCGTTGAACAGTAGCAGGATATAATGTCAGTCAGATGAGCTAAATGTCGACACAATTTGGCAATTGTCAAATAGGTGTTTTGTATTCATGCTGTGATACTGCTGTCACTGACTTTTCAATCAGAACTGTTGAGATTTCCTGAATCGGAGAAGTGATCGATATATTCAATCATTCACTGTCTATCTCTAAATTAGAAGTCAGACAGGACTATTCCTGTAACGTCATCTTACTAATATATGTGTAAAACTTGAGTAATGTGGTGGTAAGTAATTCCACTTGCATTTGATTCGATAACAACATAAGCTTTGTTTATCGAATCAACTGCAAACCGATACGTGTAATGGGAATGATTCAACACCTGTCCACCAGAGGATATCTGGAAAATTCTACTACCCCTACGATAAATAGGAGAGGACAAAGAAAACAATAAAAATATAAAAATTAATAGTTTTAGGTTTAAAATGTCAAGTGGGTCAAGTGAAAAGGATTCAGAGTGAGAATAGTAATAATAATAATGATAATAATGTTAAAATAATAATAGTAATAAGAGAAGAGTACATAGAATAACTAAATAAACAAAATAAATAAATGTCTATCCTTCTACGGCCAAGGCAGAAGTATGGATTGTACATACTTCTTTTGTACACAAAGGTCTGGCCTAACGTCATGAATTGCCAAGGCCTCTGCTGTCTTTAGAAGTCTGTAACGAAGAAAACGCGGGAAGTTAGCATGGATTCGGTATATGATCTTAAAATCATGGTCAGGGTTTATGGAGTGACAGAAGTCGATCAGGTGTTCCAAAATAGAGCTTCTCACACACTTCCTTTCTCCCCTATAAAACCATGCTGGAATATGTTCTCGTATCCGTGTGGAAAGCGTCCTCTGACTACGGCCTTGCTCCACAAGAGCAGGTGAACTGATAGATGCACATGGAGGCGGCCAGATGGGGGAGCTTATCTTTTATAGAGGTAGAGAACAACTTGCGGCTGGTGAACGTCATATGTAATTTTGCTGCATAGAACGTCTTAATGACTGATTTGGAGAGACGATTTTTGAGCATATCTGAAGCTTGATCACCTTTGAATTCCAAGTTCATGAATAAGGCTTTCTTTGGAACTGTGTCGGCGACCAGTTTAGACTGCTTTTCTTTCATGTTGCTGTCAATAAATCGGTTAGGGTAACCGTTTTCTGCCAGCGTGGCTTTTAAGAAATCAAGTTCCGAGTCAACGGAATCAGAACTACAAAAACTTTAAGCCAGACCTTTGTGTACAAAAGAAGTATGTACAATCCATACTTCTGCCTTGGCCGTAGAAGGATAGACATTTATTTATTTTGTTTATTTAGTTATTCTATGTACTCTTCTCTTATTACTATTATTATTTTAACATTATTATCATTATTATTATTACTATTCTCACTCTGAATCCTTTTCACTTGACCCACTTGACATTTTAAACCTAAAATTATTAATTTTTATATTTTTATATTTTTTACAATATTGAATTCTGTCTTATCAAAACAATAAAACTCAAGTTTCGAAGTCGTGTGATTATAATTGGCGATATGATTATGAACAACAAATTTTGTTCGAAACTGTGTCATCCAGTAAATAATACTGTTTCACTGTGTGATACATCTGATAAACAAACTAATAACGTCATCTTACATATGACTAATGTAAATAAGGTGTCCAAAAGACTGTATTAAGTTAGCATCATCGCCTAGAAGGACTGTATCAGCTGTATACCTCTGTTCAGTTTCAAACACGTACTCGCACAAAGTATATATCTGTCACCGATCCTTTATATTATATTTAGATATAGATATTTAGGGAATAATACATTAAGATCTGGAAAAACGAAAGTTATTAAGGACTGAATGAAAATCTTCATGAGATAACCTGAGAATCTTAAAATATAAAAAAAGAAATAATATGGTAAGCTAGCCATAACTTGAAAGTGTCCCAAGAATAATCACGGTGAAGAAAAAAGAAATTCCCAAAAACTAGTGATCAGCTTAAAACAATTTCGAAACACTTCATATTACTACTTACAAATAGATAACTCTAGCAGATCGATTAAAGCAGCTCATTCTGCAACAAGAACTTTTGTACGAGAACGCGTTCACAGAGCAACCAAAAGCATGG